CAACTAACCCTAAGCCCCGCGCGCGCGGTGCCCGGCTCGCCCTCCCCGCCGCCCCGGCGCGTCCAGCTCGGCCGTGAGGGTGAGAGGGGGTCCCAGAGGAGGTGCCGGGGAGATGGGGGACCCCAGCCCCTTCCCGCCCCGCGGAGTGAGGCGGCGGGGACGGAGAGAAGGAAGGAGGTCTTCTGTTTAAAAAAAAAAGCTTCGGGGCGCAACTTTAGCGATGTCCCTTGCTTGCGTGTTGGAGAGCCGGTTTTGGGGGGCCCCCGAAGGGGGGCTGCCTTGGCCGTCGTAGCCCCCCTCCCCAGTTCTCCGCCGAAGTCCCCGGCCCCGCTCGGAGGGCGCAGGCCGAGCCCCCTCCGCGCGGCGCTGCGTCTCTAGGTGAGGGGCTGCGACACTCCTGTCGCCGCGGCCATCTGTCTCCGGCTGCGCGAGCCCGGCCCCCCCCCCCACTGCGCCAGTGGTTTTGAGGGGGGGGTGCTGTCTGGAAAGCCGAGGAGCTAGTTGAGTGAATGCATACAGCAGGTGACTATTAAAGTGTCAGCATCCCAACAGTGGTGGAATCTCAGCCGGTGCGGAAGGCTTGCGTCGTTCTTAATGCGGAGAGTGTAGGGTGGGGAGGGGGAAGGGGAAGAGTCGACCAGGTTTTATCCGAAAATAAAATAATCCAATCCAATCCCTTTACCTGGGAAGCGGCCCTCGAACCTGTCCCAGCTTTCCCCCAGAACGGACACCTCTCGAAAAACAGGTCCCTTTTTCAAAGCTCACTTTGCCAGAATGAGGGTTTAGGCAAATGTCTAGTGGTCAAAAGGTTTCCTTTTACTGTTCCATATCCCAGCTCTTAGGGGGGTACTCACGGTGTCATGTTTTCCCGGGTGGGGGGCAAGGGAGGGGTGCCTGCGTCTGTTTTGCTTTCAGGGTGAGTGCACTGTGGTCACCCCTTGGCTGGGAACATGGCAGGGTGTTCTTATCATTCACAGATCAGACCTCCTTACTGTGTGCCAGGCTAGCAGCACCCCAGAGGGTCCTTGCTAACCCCCCCAAAGGGGGTAAGCGGGCTGCTGGGAGAAGAGAGGGGATCAGGCTCATGTCCCCCACACCCCAGCCTTGTGGGGTGAATTGTCACCTTTCTCATGTCCCAGGAACTGAATGCATCCCATCCTGCGACCCCATAAATGGATTCTGCAAGGGGGACAAGAACTGCAGGTAATTGCAGCTGGTGGGGTCCAAGGAAGAATCCTGAGGAGTCATGGCGTGGGGGGGGGGGTGAGGAGATGGGAGCTTGGTAATAAAACTGCGTCACAGCTTCTTTGCTCCTGCAGAAAACTGGTGGGGTGGGGGGGAGAGCGAGAGGGAGAAGGAAGCGGGGGCGGACGAGGTGGGGGCCAGGAGAGCTGGAGCAGGAAGAGACCACTGCGGGCCACTGCGGCAAAACGCAGTCCTCGGGACTCCTGGGACCCTCGTGTGTCTGGGCCTCAGCACCTTCCCTCTCCAGGGTTTGCATTCAGGTGATGGATGCTGTGAGACCCCCTAGGCCGCCTCTGTGTGGGCTTCCCCTTCACGGGTCTTCTCCCCGGCCCCCAGTGGACCCCCGCCCCTGCTCTCTCATGCGGTCCTGTCTTTCCCGCGCCCTCCCGCAGGTGTGAGCCTGGCTGGCAGGGCCCCATGTGTGACCAGTGTGTGACCTCTCTCGGCTGTGTGAACGGATTCTGCGACAAGCCCTGGCAGTGTCTTTGCAAGCCTGGCTGGGATGGCAAACTCTGCGATATAGGTGGGCACCCGCCTTTGCCCACCCTTGGCCGGGTCCCCTGGCCTCCCAGGGAGGTCAGGCTGCCCCCCCTTCCCTTCCCTCCCCTCCTCTTCAGGTGGGCCTCCTCCCAGCATGAGTAGGGCGCTTTGTTTGTAGGTACCCATTCTGTGCCCCCCAGCACCTCTCCAAAGGTAGGGACTTTGCTTTCTTCACCTCTAGCACCCGCAGAAGGGGGTCTGAGGAGCTGCCTGTTGAATAAAGAGTCACAAAACAACCCCCCCCCATACACAACTAAGCCCCTGGACCCCAGACTGCAGGCAGCCCACGTAGGTCTGTGAAGTGCAGAGATGGGCAAGCACCCGCCTCAGCTCAGGGCTTAGGCATCAAGAAACAAAATCAGGAGAGGGTGCTAGGGCATTCTCAGGGTAGGGAAGCAGAAATGGAGGGAAGACCCACAGGATTGGAGGCCAGATAGGATGGGAACTGGGGAAGGAAAGGCTGAAAGAGGTGAAAGTACAGATTAGAGTCCTCTGTTTCCATTCATTCATTTAGGCCATCTTTGTCATTTAATTTCACACACACACACACACACCAGTCACAGAGCTGCCTGTCTTTGCTGCAGTTTTCAAACTGCAAAATGGACCTTGTAGTCTTTCCTCACTCACTAAAACCCATCCCAAAGTCCAAGCAAACTGAAATTCTAGAAAAATCTCCCAGCAACAGCACAGACAATTATTCCTGGGCTTCCTTTCTCCCAACCATAGCAGACTGTGGGGGTACAAATTGGGAAACTGAGGGTCAGAGCAACAAAAGGACCTCTGCTCAAATTGTCTCTGCGCCATACCTCCCCCTCCCATATGATGCAAGGTTTTACCTGCAGCTGACTCACGCTCAGCCCCTCAGCCCACAGCAGCAGCAGCAGCAGCTGCTTTGAACGGCTTGGGTATTCAGGGGGTTAAGAAAAACCTCTATTAGGGATCAGGGTTAGACTTTTAGCTTAGAGCTTACCCTCCCTGGTGTATGAACACGGAGCCCCATGCCTGGAGCTTTCAGGACCCTCTCTCTTTGGGTCCTGGGTTAGATCCCCTCCACACCAGGCAGCCTGGACAGGCTGGGGTCCCCGGGAGGGAGGGAGGGAGGGATTAGCCACTGGGTATTTGCCAGCCCTTTCTCCTTTTGCCTGCTGTGGCCACAGCTGCAGTCTCTGAGGAGACCCAGCCCCAGTCTCTCGTTAGAGCTGAGCCCTGCCCGGCTTTAGGGGTCCTCCCGGTTAGTACTTAGACTTGGCATTTCAGGGTGAGGAGAGGTTGAGGTTTGTGTGTGTGTGTGTTGTGTGTATGTGTGTTGGGGGGGTGATTTCTAGCTCTTATATCTTAAATGGAAGCTTCTGAGTGACAAACGAGCTAGGGGCAGAAAATTAGGAGCTGGCTGTGGAGCCTCCCTGTGCTAAAGCAGTGCATGCTCTATCCGGGAAAGATAAATCCTCCTTTTTATGTTCCCGCCACCATGCCGGTTTCCCAGGGAGAGTCCATCAACATGGCGTTCAGCCTTTTTCTGGTTGATGTATTGCGGTCTTCACCAGGGCGCGGGTCTCTTTGAAAAGGGGGGAAAAAGAAAAGAAAATCTACACACGTGTGGTATGAGCGCAGGAGAGCCCAGGCCTGCCTGGACTTCCGTCCTGCTGCCAGGCCCACTTAACTGACAGAAAACCCTAGGGGGTCAGCCAGAGAGAGAGAGAGTGTGTGAGAGAGAGCAAGCCCTTCCTTTTGTATGGAGGGAGACTGAGGCACGGGGTGGGCAGGCGCTGAACTCCGCAGCCCTGCGGCAGTGGGCAGGGGCCGCTGGGGAAGGAGCCTTTCAGGCCCTGCTCAGAGCTGGGGTCTCTACCTCAGCGAACCCTCACCCCAGACATCTTTGTTCAGCTCCGCCCTGCCTTCCTGAGCCTGAATAATGAAGTGAGCTTGACACCGGGTGTTAAGAGACAGTACAAATGTACCAGCATCCAATAAATAGCTCTAATTTTGCTGCCTTGAGAAGATGCAGCCTTTTGACCTCAGACCCCTTTAGTTGGGAACCTGAAGCAGTGGGGGTGGGGAGGGAGTTGGAGGTGGGGAGAGGTCAGCTTTCTTGTTCCTCTGCTGGGGTCTTTGATGGCATAGTATGAAGGGCTGGTGGTGGTGAAGACGTGAAGACTCCTTCCCTAATCATAGGAAGCTGGGCCTGGTGGGAGAGGGCAGGGAGGGGGGAGCCCAGCTCAGGGACACCATCTTGGTGAGGGGCAGGACAAGAAGAGGGTGCAGCTAGCAGTCTGCTGAATAGCAGTAGCCGTAGCTCCTTTCCACACAGCAAGCCACTTTAGTTTTCCAGCCTTTAATGTATTCATTTCCTAGGTAGGGTTTTTTTTTGGGGGGGAGGGGGTCGGGAGCAGTCATTATGTCCTCTCACTAGAAACTCCGAGAGCAGAGCCATTTGGCAGCTCCCTCGGGGTCCCGACGCACCTCACTGGGGGCCTCTGATTTTCTCTGTCCCCCAGATATCCGGCCTTGCATCTCCACCCCCTGCGCCAACAACGGGACCTGCGTGAACCTAGACAATGGCCAGTACGAATGCTCCTGCGCCCCAGGGTACTCGGGCACCGACTGCCAGAAGAAGGACGGGCCGTGTGTGATCAATGGGTAAACACTGCCTTCCTCACTCTGCTCGGCCCAGGGAAGGCTGTTGCCTCTTTCAGGCTGTTTTCGAGGCCATTTCTCACCCCTAAAAGCCTCTTTCAGACCGACTCTATTGGACCTATGTGCCCGTAAAGAAGTGAGGCCCTCCCTGGCCCCTCCCCCGCAGCCCCCTTCAGGGGACCCCTCTGATGGGACAGTTAAGGAGAAAGGTGCCATTTCCATAAATCCCCCCCCCCAGGCAATTTCATATCCCCTGGTGTTCCCAAGTCCCGCGGGCTCTGAGCGGCATCTTGTCCTCAGGTAAAGGAAGGAATAAGAGGTCAGAGTTCAGCAGGGCCAAGGTGTTTGCAAAACCCACTTACTTACTGCAGGGGTGATGTTGGGGTTCCGAACCTGAGGTGTGGGGAGGCATGGGGGGGTCTCTGAAGGAGACCATCCCCTAAGCCTCGTTCACACACACACACCAGTAGCTCTCACACTTAGATTGGGCAGGGGGTGGGGGCAGAGAGCCTGAGGCAGAGTCTACATTCAAGATCTTAAAGGAAGATACCCAGTCCCCAACCAGCAGCTGAGGAGGGAGGGGGGTGTCCTCAAATAGAACCCAGGAAGGTGCCTAACCGGCAGCTAGATCAGAGGGTGGTGTCTAAAGGTCTGTATTCGTCAGGGGGTCAGCTGAGAGGATGATCACTGAACACCCACCCCCATTGCTGTGTATACCGAGGAAAAAACAAAACAAAACAAAGCCAGACTTGAGCCTATCTTACTCTTCTGTCTAAGAGACTTGAACCAGTGGGTCACAATAGAGCCCTGGGGGACTTTGAAAGGCCCAGAGCCCAGCTGTTCCGCGTCCTAGGCCCCCGACCAGCCACACTGGCTTCTTGTGTTTAGGGCTCTTTCTTCCTTTGGAGTTTTGGCATTTACCACATGACAGAGAGCTTGCGTCTTTGAAAGCACTTCCATTAACTGCTGTGTGCTCTGCTTTGAGCACACAGCTTGGGTTTGCTAGCTGCCCGCGGGTGGATGGGCCTCAGTGAAACAGCCCACTGCAGACAGATAGACACAGACAGACAGACAGACACTGTGCTCCAGCCTCCCTCCCTCAGCCCCCACCTTCCCTGGGGAGGGGGAGGATTTGAGCCATGCCCCTTCTAGCTCGGTTATGCCAGCAACCCAGGGACTTGAGCCTGGGGGGGGTCTCCTTCCAAACTTGGGCTGTCACTGGTGATTCCTCTCCCAGCCTCAGTTTCCCCATCTGTCTGGTGATTGACCATCAGCCCTCTGGCTGGAGAAATGAAGTGAGGGGCGAGGGAGCATGTGGGTCTCCTGGGGTGTGGGGGGATGGGGTGTCAGGTCTACTCCAGGCTGGCCTCGTGATGGGGGTGGTGGGTACCCCATCCTTGGACCATGGTGAGCCTCCTTCTCGGAGGCCCATCCTGGGCATGTGACCCCGGCTGGCCCTTCCTCCTTCTCTCTGGAGGAGCCAGGCCTCCCCTCTCCCTGTGCCTCTGTCCTAGCCCAGACGCCCAGAGGGCCCTTTCCCTCCCCCCGCTCCCGCCCTGTGTTCCAGCTCCCCGTGCCAGCATGGAGGTACCTGCGTGGACGATGAGGGCCGGGCCTCCCATGCCTCCTGCCTGTGCCCCCCTGGCTTCTCGGGCAACTTCTGCGAGATCGTGGCCAACAGCTGCACCCCCAACCCGTGCGAGAATGCCGGCGTCTGCACCGACATCGGGGGCGACTTCCGCTGCCGCTGCCCCGCCGGCTTCATCGACAAGACCTGCAGCCGCCCGGTCACCACCTGCGCCAGCAACCCCTGCCAGAACGGGGGCACCTGCCTGCAGCATGCCCAGGTGAGCTACGAGTGCTTGTGCAAGCCCCCGTTCACGGGCCCCACCTGCGCCAAGAAGCGGGCGGCCACCCCCGCGCAGGTCACCCACCTGCCCAGCGGCTACGGGCTCACCTACCGCCTGACCCCCGGGGTGCACGAGCTGCCTGTGCAGCAGCCTGAGCACCGCGTCCTCAAGGTGTCCATGAAAGAGCTCAGCAAGAGCAGCCCGCCCCTCACCGAGGGCCAGGCCATCTGCTTCACCATCCTGGGCGTGCTCACCAGCCTGGTGGTGCTGGGCACCGTGGGCATCGTGTTCCTCAACAAGTGCGAGGCCTGGGTGGCCAACCTGCGCTACAACCACATGCTGCGCCAGAAGAAGAGCCTGCTGCTGCAGTACAGCGGTGGGGAGGAGCTGGCCGTCAACATCATCTTCCCCGAGAAGGTGGATGCCAGCACCTTCCACAAGGAGGCCGGCGAGGAGGAGATCTAAGCAGCACCTCCCTCCCCTTACCTGCAGGCCCCTCCTCCCCCTCCCCTCCCCCTCCCCCCGGGGTTCTGCAGAAGCTCCCTTAGATGCGGTCTGTGCTCAGCTTTGTGGTGGCGTTTGTGTCAAACCTGGTGAACCTGCTGCGCTTCTTCTCTACTGTCATCGTGTGGCCGTGTGACACGCTAATGCCAAGTGAATCCTCCTTTCTCCCTCTTAATGCATGATTACAAATAATGATGAGAATAATAAGAATTTCAATCCTTACACGAGTTAAGAGAAATAAGTATGTTATTCTAAACTCTAAATAGCAAAATATCAAAAAAGACCAAAAAAAAACATGGTAACGGAACCAGGGCTGGGTGCCCCGACGCCCTCTCCCCAGGGGGTCTCGGCCACCCGGGTCCTTGTGGAACCATACGAGTCTTGTGCATGACCACCCACTGTGAAAAGAAGCTAAAAAAAATCTCTTTCGTTCGTTAAGTCTCATGTGCCACATCCAACTCGCACTCACATCCGGCCTCACACCGCAACCGCCCTTAGATCTTTCTGATTGCTTTGTGACTTCGCAGAGTGCAGTGGCTGTAGGACAAGCAGAGAGAGAGAGGAGAGAGAGAGGAGAGAGAGAGGAGGGAGAGGAGAGAGAGAGAGAGCACCGAGTCCTGGGTTGGCAGCTGAGGGGGGGGAGGGGAGGAGAGGGGTTCAGGACCCCATCCCAGCCCCACTCAGCGAGTTGCCCACCCCAATCCCAGGCCCATCTCCTCCCCCACCCCTCCTTCTCTAGGAGGGGTTGGAACACCCACCCACCACCAAAATCCTCTCTGGCTGGAAACCTCAGAACGAGGAACGAGGGGGAATATTCCGAACACTTCCGACCCTAAGAATAAGGATCTGATGGAGACTCAGTCTCATCCTAGGATCCTGATGGTCTTGGCCTATCCTGGAGGCACACTTGACATGGCACCGATTCCCAATGCATTCCTCAGAGGGGGCGCCTCCTGGCTGCCTCCCATTTGAGGGGGAAAGAACCAACAACCTGGCCCCTTGGAGTCATAACTCTGTGCCATCTGGAGTTGCCACTCAGGCAGCCAGGCCCCTCACCCCAACCTTACCTCTGAACCTCCACACTTAATGCCTGCCTTCCTCCCTTCTAGAGTAGAGAGGCCCCTGGAGTCTTGAACCTTGAACCGCAAGTGCCCCCCCTGGCAGAATCTGAGTTCGCAGCACCAACCCTCACCCAGGTTTTCACGGAGTTTTAGTGGAAATGGTGGCTTGTGAGCAGCGTCCGGTCTGGACGCTGACTTTTGTGTTGCTCAGTGAATAACCCTCAGATCCCAGAACACCTAGCCAGCTTCGAAATTAGGAATTTGACTTTTGGTTTCTTTCTTGTGGGTGTCTTTATTATTTTTTTCCCGTGTTTTAGAGAGAGCATCTATTTTTTTTGCAGAAAAAAAAAACTAGAAAGCAATGGGACGGAGCTCTGTGTAGCTGCCTGGTGCCGTAGCTCGGCGGCCGCTACACAGCCCTTTGGGTACCAGTTGAGACTATTTTGCTTCTTAAATTATTTAGAGAAGAATTTATACTCTTAGCTCTATTAAGTAGGATGTGCCGTGTTTACCTGCCTTCATTGCCTTCCTCATCCGCGTCATGTGCATCACAGCCACCCATCCATCATGTGCGCCACCGCCATACACATCAACCCCATCACGGCCCCAGCCCGGACTCCTCCTCCCCCTGACTGCCCGCCCAGCCTGCCCGCCCAGCACCCTCCCAGCCTGCCTGCCCAGCACCCCCAAGTGCCCCGTCCGGCCCTCCCTCAACCCAAGCGTTGAGCCCCAGTCCTTCCTAAGCCCTCAGCCCAAGCCCCTCCCTCCTCTGGTCACCCCAAGTTCCTGATCACTGGCAGTGTGCCAAGCTCCACCTCACCACTGTTGGTCCCCCCAGGCTCCTCCCAGCCGCACCCTGAGGTTCCCCTTCTGCCCCATCCTCTACCTCTCCACCACCAAGCCCCTCCCCCTCAAACTCCCCCTCCCCTGCCCCTCTGGGGCCCGCCTCTCCCTCCCTCCCCCCAGGTCCCCTTGCTCCCCTACCCACAAGCCCTGAGAACCCTTCCCCCAGAACCTCAGCCCTCCTTTCCACGGAGCCACGTCATCCTCCCATCTCATAGTTTTGAGTTTGTTTTAAGAAATCAACAAAATTTTAAAAAAGACAAAAAAAATTCTGAATCGTTGGCATGCGCCAGGCGGCTGTTCAGTGCCCAGCCTGGCTGCTCTCCGCGTGAGACCTTAATCAAGGCGCGGACGGTTCTGTTCTGCGCCCCCCACCCCCACCCCCGCCCCTGTGCAGAGTTCCAAGATTGGACGGAACAATCTGGTTCTCCTATGTTTTATTTATTTCATTCTATGTTTTTTACCTCCACGGGGTAGAGGTACCCCGCCAGCTCCCCACCCACTCATCATCCACCCTTCACCCAATCAGGGAGCATTTCCAAGCACCTGCTCAGCGGAAGGCATGTGCAGAGACCTGTGGACCGGACGTGGGCAGTGGGGGACAGCCCGGGAGGGGTGGGGGGCATACCTCGTCTCCCTACACAGGAAGCCACGTGGTGCGGATACCATACTGTGGGACTGGAGAGTCCTGAGCAGACGCCCCCTCCGAGGGTCACCCTTTTACCTTCCCACGAGACCAACTAGCACCTGATTGAGGCCGCCCCACCCAAATTCAACAGCGTCCCCCACGCGCGTGCGCCCACCCCTGCGGTCGGAGCCACGCTGCCAGCCTCACCGAGGTCTTCACGCACGCAGAAATGGTCCATTCCATACTCTATGGTGAAACCAGATCTGCTGAGAGTGTTGGGATTCTGACTGCCCATCCACACCTCGTGTGTTTGGTGTAGTGTGTAGTTTACGCAACAAAACGGAGAAGCTCAAAGATAGCGGTTTGAGACATGTTCATTAATTCGGTCCCAAATTCGGAGAACAGGAGGAGGAGGAGTGATAATTCTGTGACCAAAATGTTTAAAAAAATGAAGTGTCCATGGCGCTCTTTTTAGCTTTTCCGTTTACCACAAGCCCAGACATGCAAAATACCTTGTTCCTTGAGAATAAACGACAAGGGCTGATTTATATCTGTCTCTTTGGTTTTTTGTGTGTGCGTCTGCGACGAAGCTGGGTCCCCTTGGGTGACGGCCATACCCACAGGCCGGGGTGGGGGTTCAGGGGCTCATACTTTGAGGGGCCCTGCTTTGGCCAGGGTGGGAGGTGGGGTGGGGGCGCAAAGCCAAGGGCTTCAGCCCTTCACACCCATGCTCTGGGAACTTGGAATCTGGAACTTTCCAGCCCTTCAGATTCTGAGGGACCTCCCCTCTGTCTCCCTCCTCAGTATGGAGGTCTGTGGGTGCTGGGTACGGTGGGATATGGGGGTGGGGGACAAGGAGACCCACACAGGAGGCCTGGAGCCCGAAGCAGGACCAGCTGGAGGGGAAGGCTCAGAACCCCAAGAACCCAAGAACTCCATCTGGGGCTTCCCTGGTTAATGGAGGGCGGTTGCTATGCCAAGGGGAGAGAAGGATTGTGGGATACCGAGCTCAGGGAGTTTAACGTTCACATGGGTGGTGTGGGGTCCCCATTCACACTCCTAACCGGGTCCCTTGCTTCTCTTCCAGTCCCAGGACCCCAAGGGGCCCATGCCTGTGGTCCTTCCAGCATGCCCACCCCTCTAGGTTCCACAAGGCGCCCTACACCAAGGACCAAGGGCTGTGTGGCCACTGCTGGTCTAAGGGTCAGCCTGGCTCTGGGCCTATCCTCACCTCCTCCATCCTCACCTCCTCCATGGCTTGGATTCTCCTTGGTCAGGCCGCTGCCACTCTACTCCCCCCCCCGCCCCCCCACCCCCAGCTGCCCAGGCCCCAGACCTGCTGTCCCAGACTCCTCCTACTCCACAGCCCACTATGGAGGCCACACTCCTGTCTCCCCCCACTCCCTACAACCTCAGCCCTGTGCCTGGGGCTCTTCCCTCTGTGGCTGTCCGTGGACTTCCTCCACAGACAGAGCAGAACTCCGGGGGGGAGAGGGGGGAAAGAGGGAGACACAGAGCTTCTGCTGCTCTGCAAGCAAGGAACACGGCGGGAAAATATGACCCCCCAAATTCCTCAGCGCAGCCAGCAGGGGTAAAGCAATGCCCCGCCCCACCCAGCCCAGCCCGGCTGGCCTGGGGCTTCACACCATCCCAAGTTTAAAAGCTAGGGGCGCTGGCCCAGCCTGGACGAAGACCAGGAGACATGGCTGAGCGCACCTGATCAAAAACAATAGCAACCAACACAAAGCACACTTGGTGCCCCCGACCTGCCCCCCAGAGGAGAGAGACAAAAACCTCCACTGACATCGCCACACAGCTCACCCTGTCCGCCTGCAAAAGGCTTCGTGATCAAGTAGAGTACTTTCTGGAGAAGCAGGTTGAATTTGGCATTCATACACGAATTCAAAGACAGTGGATAGATGTTGGAGAGGTCAGGAACAGGGAGGCAGCATGGGTGGGCTTTGCTTTGTGACAGGCCCAGGTGTTAGAGTCTCTGTGCCCTGAGCCCTGCGTGGGCTCCTGAGGGAGGCGCCTGGGAAGGTGGGCCAGGTGGGGTGAGAGGCCTGCAGGTCACTGAGCGTAGGCCCTGGAGGGGATGTGGGCCTCCCCCGTCTCCTCTTCTCTCTTTTGTAGTAGTCTGGCTCTGCCTTGCAGTCCTTCCTCCACGGGCCACCACCTCGGGTCTCCAGCAGCAAGGCCAGCTGCCGCAGCGAACCCACATGCTTCCTTCAGGAACGAGCTCGGGGATGTGTTCCAATGACATAGAGCTGACATCCGGGAAGGGACACTCAGCAGCCTCTGGACAGGTGGAGGGAAGGTTCCAGAAGCACAGCTGTAAAGGCAGGAGTGGGGGGTGGGGCACCCATCTAGGACAGGGAATAAGGAAAACACGGGCTCAGTGGGGTGTGGTCTTGGTGCTCACGAGCCAGTCTGGTCCCTCATGATGAACTGGAATTTGAGACCCC